TTCCCTCTCTTCCCATTTCTCTCTCTCTCTCTCTCTCTCTCACACACACACACACACACACACACACACACACACACACACGGTCCTTCCTTCCTGGAGGCTCCAGGGGAAAAATACATACACAGCACTGCTGTATTTGGGAATACTATTCATGCCCTTCCTTGCAGTGTTGTCGTGAGTGAAGCGTGCAAGAAAAAAAGCCTGTGGGATTTAATTAGGCTTACTTATATATTCCCTTTTCTACAATGACTGGGCTCAAGCTGGGTTCACAACGGATACAGAAGCACTGTATCAGTGGGGCAGATGCTTGTCCGATAGGCCATTTCAGTTCAGATTTAGGAGTTCGAAGGTCCTGGGTGCTAACCCACTCAAGAAGTAATCCTGTCCCAGTTAGATGGTCTGTCTGCCTGTCTCTGCAGTTATGGATCAATGAAGGCAGGTGCTGGTCTAGGGGTTCGCGGGGCTCTCAGTATTCCGCAATACAAGCACAGGAGCAGGAGCACGGCTGGCCTCGAGAGCCGAAATCAGCATCCTGAGAGCTTCACCTTTTTCTCTCTTTGGGCCAGAACAGATGGCAAGCGAAATGTCTTAGATAGATAGATAGATAGATAGATAGATAGATAGATAGATAGATAGATAAATGCATGCGTGTGTTTAGCCCGTCTGCTCCTTCCCCTTCGACCAGGAGATCTTCTGTACTGGTTGGGGACGGAAGCGTGTGGGGTGGGGAGAGAGGCCTTTCCTCTGCAGCCCTAATTAAAGCCCCTCCCCAGTTCTGCTCTCCCCTCTCCCCAGACTGAGAGAGATGCTTCCATGGTGCCAGTGAAGACGATGTGTTTCCAGCACACTCATTGCCAGGTTCGTTCATGCTTGTTGAACGATCCCTCACAGACACAAGCTCCCTGCACAGAGACGATCAGCTTGTTTCAAGAGGGCAAAGCTGAGTTCTTTTTCCTGGGTTGCTAGATTATTACATGAAGGGATAATGTTTTACTGGGTGGTCTGTTTTAATAATGAATAAATAAGGGGGAGGGGGAGGGGGAAAATCTTTTGGACATGCACATGGTAGGCATGTTATAAGCAGAGTCGGCTGGAGCTGGGGGTCAGACTAAATGTCCTGGGAAGCCCCTGCTGACTGGCTCTGTTTCTGTTTCATTTAAACTTAACAGTTCTGCTTCTACGAAAGAGGTGCAGTCCTGGAAAAGCTTAATTGTTCACTGCAACCAAATATATTGTCAGGGCTTGCATTAACACACATTGCATTTTGTTGAATTATATCAATACCCTGCCTTTCTTCCTCTTGCAAGGATCTCCAGACAGCTTGCACAATCCTCCACTCCATTTTATCCCCACAACAACAACCCTGTGAGGTAGGTTGGAATGAGAGTCTGTGACTGGCCCAAAGTCACCCAGCGAGCTTCAGGGCTGAGTGGGGACTCGAACCCGGATCCGCCAAATCCCAGTACCAGCAGGGCCCGCGGCATGTTGACGCAGCTGGGACTTCCATGGTGAGCCAGGCGGCGCTTGCAACACCACGGAGAGCTCCAGCGGTGTGGCCGGGCTTTGGGGACCCTTCAGCCGGGCCGCCCTCCCCAAGCGCCCCCTTCCTGTGGGCAACTTGCCTCCGTCGAGGAGGGCAAGTGACTCTTGCTGGAGCCAGGGGGGCTTGGCACGCGTTCCTGCCCCTTCCACCCTGCCGTGGGGCAGCCTGTTTCCTTGGGACAAGATAGGAGACCAGGCTCAGGACTCCCGGCTGCAGACCTTCACCCTGAGGAGGCGGGCACCGTGCAGCCAGCTCTGACCTGGGTGCAAGCTGGCTTGAAGGATTCGGTGCCTCAGACAAGCACCGTGTGTGTCGCCCCTTTGGCCTCTGCTTCCCAAATAAAATATTTTGCAAAAGACACACTAGGAAAAGGAAAGGCAGCTGCCCGGGAGGTGTTAGCGGCCTGTGGCAAACGCCCAGCCAGGTGCTCCACAATAAATGCGCAAAGGGGAAAACGAGCCGTCTGCTTGTTTGCGTGTTTTATTCAAAACCGAATCGTTTGGCCAGGAGCTCCGAGCTGCCCATTAATAACCTTGACAGGGCTTCTCCGCGCGCCGATAATGAAGGTGTTAGTCCAGCAGGCAAAGCCTTTCTCCTGACGGCCCAGACGTCTCAATGCGAGACTGTCCACTCCTTGCCACTGCGTGCGGAGAGAACGGCTGCAAACGGCAAAGCGGCCCCGAGGTTTGGACTCTTCCCTTGCAGCCATCGCAGAAGGCCGGCCCCGAGGAGAAGGCCCTGCAGTTCATCCATCGCCCGACTGTGACCGATCACCTGCCATCTCGGGGGGCTCCCCTTAAAGGAGGTCACAGGCTCCCCAAGAGCTTCATGGCTGAGCGGGGACTAGAACCCGGATCTCGCAGGCCCCCAGCCTCATCTTCCAGCCTGTGCAGCACAGTGGCCCTCGGGTTAAAGGCATCTGACCCGCCACAGCAGCCCCACTGTAGGAACAGACCCCGCTGCAAAAGCCCCCAAAGGCGCCATCCATGTATTTCAGCCTTTTCCGACACAAAGGAAAACCCTCCATATATGTTGGGCCCCTTTTGTAAACAGAGCCGGTGTCTGTTCGGTGGTCTCAGCTTTGAGCAAGATGGGGTGGGGGGGGGAGCACAGTGGCTTGGATCTGGAAATTGCCCGGTCTTCTTGCTCTAACTTCACTTTGTAGGGCCCAGCAGGAAATCTTGAGGTGTAGTTAAGGTCTAATGCCTGTTTTCTCCTCCTTATCACAGGCCCAGACTGCTGTCACTCAACCAAGATCGGCCTATGGGGTTAATCCCTCTGACCTCTGGACCAGTCACTCCAACCTTGATGCCTTTCTTGAACTACTTGAAAAAAACACCAGGCTGCAGCTGAGCTCAGAGCAAGCCTTTGTCAGAACAGGAAACTGCTGGGTACTTGAGTCCATCGACCGGTCCGTGCCGTTGCACTACTGGTCTGGCCACATCCAGTTGCCTCTGCTAGCTGAGAACAGACCGAGCACCTCAGCGTCTCCTTGGACGTAGCCGAAACCTGTAGAAACGCTGCCCCTCATCCTGGGGGCAGGCTGAATCGGCCTCCGCGGGGTGATCATCCAACAAGGAGCTGTGATGAGAGTCCAAGTGCTGCTTTTTGAACCGCAACGGAAAGAGCTAAAAATGGACTGAGTTCAAAAGAGAGAGAAGGTCACAGCTGCTTCTGGGCTGAGACGCCCCCACTCCAACCGCTGCAAGGCGAAGTGCAATGCACGGGTTTTTGTTTTCTGAACTAACGTTCTGCACTGAGAAGAAAGATGGAAGAAGCGGGATCGGAGGGTGGGTGGGTCACAGGGAAGACGAGGCAGACTCACGCATCCAGCAGGGGCCACGTCATGAAAGAGGCAGTCAATCCCACTCTGAAAGATTCATCTGGAAGCAAAGTATAGGCAGGTTTACACGAGACTGCATCTGCTTTCGGTTTCTTCCAGGAACTAAGATCTGAGCATTCCCCCAGGGGTGTGCTTTGCCTTGCTTTTCTGTTATATAACCGCTGGGTCCAAATACAGAATCAGGAAAAGCATCTTCTTTCACTGTTACAAATAATGCCGCATTCTCCTCACTCTAAAAATAACTCGCCAGAAGCATCCTTTAGACACCTCGGTGCACCTGATGACCAGCTTGCCACCTGCATGGACCTGCCCTCCATGAGTTTGGCTACCCCTTCCTTACAGCCCCGCAAGGAAGAGGCTGCGGAGCCCACGCACCGGGAAAGCTGAGCTGGCAAGATGAGAGGGGGAAACGGCCCTCCACCTCCTGCAGAGCAGGCATGGTTGCTGCAAAAACGCCCGTGCCTATGCACGCGCACACACATGCACAGACACAGGGCCACTTCCCCAGTCAAGGAGATGTCACAATACAATCGAGGAAAGCTTGCATTCTAGAACAGGGGCCAGTAACCTCCTTGAGCCTGAAGACAGATCTGGCAGTTTGAGAAACTGCCCTGGTCAGCAGCGCCACGGAAATCTATTTCAGAGAAAGCAAACTCATTCCCCTTTCGCCTGCTCTCCATCTCTCTATGAATCACCACCACTCAAAGCTCTGCGCTCGCGCGCTCGCTCGCTCTCTCTCTCTCTCTCTCTCACACACACACACACACTCTCCAGCCCCACAAGCACTCCATCTAGCCACAGTGTTTGCCTGTGTACACAGTGCACAGAAGTGCATGCAAATACCCCTCTGCTCTCCTCACTTCAAGCACATGGAAAAGCACCCAAGACTCTCCCTTCCCTTTGAAGTGATCCAACTGTCTGTCTGTCTGTCTGTGATCCAGAACATGCCAAGAGTTACGGGAACTTGGCCTTTCTGTATCCTGTGGCTTCTATACGAAGGTGGGTACCCGCTGATGCCCTTAGAGAGCATCCATCAAGATGCCTTGAAGGCTTTGTAGTGCGAACCGCTGCCAGGCCAGATGCCCTCGCCCCCCAGTTTCACCCCAAACACTTTCCCCTCTTCCTAGCAGGATGTGGACATTGGTCACATATGCCACCAGTGGCCCTTGAGCATACAACACCCATCATCCCTCCTGGCATGTTTGAAAAGGAAAAACCCTCCCGGGGGGGGGGGGGGTGCAGCCACACACTAACAAAACACAGGCTTCCCCCCAACCCAGCCAAATTTTGCCGTACCTACTGCCCCCCTTCACCTGCTTAGCAAAATTGTTTGCTCCCCCAAACTTCTCAGAAGAAGGTGGGGAAAGGGGGCGTCTTTCGGGTGAAGTTTCCACGGCACACGACTCTCCGTGGAGCCAGACGACACAAAGCCATGAATGAACGCCGTGCCAGCTCCTTCAGCCCCTTTATTGATCGCAAAGCGTCTACAAATGTGGAGCGCATTCACCCTCCGTGCGCAACGCAGGGCATCACTGCCGTCCCTGTGGAAAGAGCATGTGGCTTGGATGGCTCTTCCTCGCAGTCCCGCGAGGCAGGGCTGGGGTGGGGGCGTCCTCAGGGTCCGAACCTCCCCATGCCCCCCATGCTCGGCTCGACCGCGTGTTCCTGGGCCGGCTTCTTCGGCTGCTCCTCCATGTGGGGAACGGCCAGCCTCCTCTTCACAGGCTTCGGGGAGGCGCTGGACCGGTCCTCCTGGCTGGGCCCCTCCTCCGCCCTCCAGAGGACCCCTGGGGGCTCCGGGGGCTGGTAGCCCATCTGATGCGGGTCCAGCGGGTCCTTGGAAAGCAGGATGCAGACGGAAGGGACGTTCTTGTGGGCGGTGAGGCGCTCCGTGCTGCCCTCCTCCTGGTTCTCCCAGACCTCCAGCACGGCCTTGTACTGGACCTTGGTGACCTGGTGGAGCCCCCCGAGCTTCCTCTTCAGGATCTCCACGCAGGTGATGGTCTTGGTGACCGCCCGGCCGCAGCCACTGAAGACGATCTGCCTGGTCGCCTCCAGCTCCATCCTGCTCACAGCGAAGCCCATCAAGTTCCGGATTTTGCTGCCCTCCTTCACCTTCATCTCCACCACGTCGGAGGGCAAGCCCACGAAAGGCAGGGGGCTGTCCTCCTCCGACGTCTTGACCTTTCGGAAGTTCTCCATCCCGGACTGGGCAGCCACGGCGGGGGGCTCAGGCTGGTGGGAGGCGAACTCCGCTGCCCCTCCGGATGGCCGCTCCTGGGGAAGGAGAGGCGGGGGTCCCACCTCCGCCGCGGTTCCCGGGTGCATCCCGGGCACTCTGCGGGAGCTGCCCTTCTACGGCAGCGCGGAAGAGGGCTCCGATCCAGGCTGGCCCGGAGCCCGCCGCTTCTCCAGGGAAGGGGGCGGCTCGCTCCGCAGGCAGGCGAGTCCCCCGAAGTGCCGGGCGGGCGGAATCCGGCTCCCCGCCAGCTGCAGCGTCGGGAGGGTCCTTCGCCTCATCCCGGGCGCCCGCTCAGCGGCCCCCCGGTAGCTCCCGGGCGCGCTGGGGGGGCGGCGGCGGCGGCGGGGGAGGGCACGCCAGCCGGCCGCCCCTGCGCTCGCCCCTCCCGCCGGCCGCCCCGCTCAGCCTCTCCATGCTCCGAGCGCGCACGCCCGCTTCCCGCGCCCGACTTTTCGCCTCTCCCGGGAGCGGCAGCCGGTCAGGGGCCGAGGCAGCGCATCCCTCCCGGATGCTCCTCCGCGCCCGGCCCCCTTAAAGCGACCTGGCCCCCGCTTGCCGCCGCCGCCGCCGCCTTCCCGCGGGTGGCGGCGGATTCCTCGCCGGCTCAAGGACGTGCGTGTCCAACTACGAATCGCTCGTGTCAGCAAAGTGCAAGCAGCTGTTACGGCGGAGGCGGCCGCCCGCCCGCCCGCCTCCCCGGTGGGGGCGCGGGGCGGGAGCGTCCCCAGGGCGCACTCCAGGGGGGCCTCTCCCCAGGCAGAACTTTGGGGCGAAGGTCCGGGCTCCCCGCAGAGCCCAAAGTGCGGGGGGGGGGCAGATGCAGCAGAAGCCGCTCCAGAGGTTTCGAAGCCGAGTCAGACGAGACTCCCGACAAAGCGCAGGGACGCATTTCGCTGTTTGATGAAAAGTGGCTGGAAAATTCTCAGGAAGAATGAAGAAGTAAATAAATAAGGGAAGGCGGCTCATTCCAGAGTGGAATTTCTCCCTCGATCCCAGCTACTGCCTATTCCACCCTCCCCCACTCTGCGGCCCCGCAAATGAGGTGGACTCCAACTCCCCTCAGCCCCAGCCAGTGTGGCCAGGGATCTGGAATGCTGGGAAGCCCACTCCGAAACCTCTGGAGGGCACGAGGTGCGAGAAGGAGCCTGGCAGCTGCTTTCCAGGGTTGTCTTCCTTATCCTTTCTACCCGGACCAGAGATGGAATCCCGGGCCTTCTTTACGCACCCCTCTGCCCCCCACTCCTCTCACAAACCGTGGCCCCTTTCATGATAACATGGCTACCGAGTGGGGCAGGGAAAACAGCGAGCCGTTCTGGGCAGGAGAGGGGCTGCAGCCCACGCAGGTGTTGGACGTGGGTGACTCTCGGCTGGTTTGCGGCACTGCAAGAAGAGAAAGAGCTAAAAATGGAGAAACCACTGCGGGTATTGATTCGCAATTGAGGTCTTTGCCTCATCAGATTCATGGATTGCTTTCATGCCTGTGGCAGATTGCAAATCTTTCCAGCTCACTTCATCAGGAATCTGGGTGGAATTTCTAGATGAGGTCCAGCAATAAGGCCATTGCAAGTTCTTGGTTCTGGACCGACTACCTTTTAAGAGGCAGTATTTGCACTTCCTTGCCACCCCTTAAAAGGAAGTTATCTGTGTGGTTCACAACTAGAAGTAAAACCCCTTGTTGATATAAAGAAGGACATAGAAAATGTTAAACAAGGACAGTCGGGGTTTGAATAAAACCCGGATTGAGCGAGGAAGTGGAATGAAAGAGATTTAAAAAGCTTAAAGGCACTGAAATGAAAAAGAGCGAAAAAGGAAGCCAAAAGAACAATCAGTGCCCCCCTCGCCACGATTTGGGCCTTTGAAAGATGCCTTGCGACAATGAGTGAGGTGCAGGGTCTGTTCTTCCGGGATTCCTTCTGCCCAGAATCTCTCAAAGTTAATGCTTTGAGAGGAGAGTGTCCGCAATTCCCCATGTCCCATGGGAAAACCCCTCTCTGCCGTACCCCAAGCTGCAACAGCTGCCGAGATGCATTTAGACATGTTGACAACTCATTGTTGTACAATTATGTTTTTCCATTAAATGTATTACTGCATCAGTGTTTTTTGACTTGTGCCCTCTGGCCATTCTTGCTTGGAATTAACCAAGTTTGAAGGCAGTTTAGGATCCCCCCCTCTCTCCCCCTTCCCCCTCCCCCAGATTTAGGGCTAGATTCAGACTTGGTCAAGAGCATTAGAAAATTCCAATGCAAATGAACAGCACTTAACTTAATCATGACATAGTTGCCTCCTTAATTCCAATGGGTCTACTCTAACTAAGTCGGGATCTAACCCACATCTTTTTAAAATGGGTGATTTTTCCCCTTTTTAAAACTCCCCTCTACACAAAAACCAGTGTATACCAATGAATTCCGTGGGAATCCATGGGAACCAAAAGGAAGGTCAAGGAAGACAGCAGTGATATTGGAGGATTATCCCCTAGAAAGCAGGGCACGTGGGCCGCCTGGTGTTCTGTGGGTGGAGCAGGGCCGTCGGGAAAGTGTGTGATCTGAGGACGACCCGCAGGGATTCCTTCTTGGGGTGACTAAGAACAGAACAAAGCTGTTGCTGTCCCTGTTCTCCTCTGGGCGACGTTGGAGCGCATGTTCCCATAAAGTGCATAAGCATGCCGCTCTCGGCCGGAAGACACATGTGTGATTCCAGTGGTGCACTGAAGAGGGAAAGGGCTGCGCACGGCTTCAGCCGAACGCTTCCTGCATGTGGGAATGCCCTGTGGTGTTTGGCCCAGCCGAGGAGTGGCAGCCAAGGCACCATGCCCCAAGGATGGTCATTCCCGTACGTGATGACACGGTTCGGCAGTCCCACCACGCATTGCGGTGCTGGTGGAGGGGCTGAAAGGCTTGGCTTTGGTGCCGAATTCGTATGGAAATTGTTTGCACTCCTGTGAGACAATTATAAGCCTTCCATCTGTCTTTTCAAATGGTTTTCCGGGAAGAACAGGGATCGTTGATGATCGTTGGACGCCCTGCAGCGCCTCACAGAGCTGGAACGGCTTGCTTCACCCTGGTGCAGCTGGAGCACAACCATAATTATACCAAGCTTGTTTTCTTTCGGTCGTATGGACTACTGGATAAAGTCCATGTGGAGAAAGCTTGGTAGGAAGGATCCACTCCCAGGACAAACACGGCCTCTCGCTAGAAGTGGGAGACTGCACAGAAGTCCATCCCTGGCCCGCATTATTGGCAGGTGAGCTCAAGAGACAGGGCCTTCTCGGTGGTGGAGTGTCATTGTTTGGATTGCCCCCCGGAGGGAGGTCTTCTCAGCCCCCATCACTACGTTCTGCCATATGGCGGTGCCGTTAGGTAACACGGACGTGATGCTCTTCCTGGAGAGCACTTGAGACGGGCGTTCATTTTACTATGGTTACTTCAAAACGTAGCCAGCAAGTCCTGCTGTTAGAGGTTCTGACTGGAGTCTGAGGAGTGGGTACGAAGCAGGTCGCCTTCAAGCAGTGCCCCCTGGGTGTCTGAGGCGGCGCCTTTCATCCACTCCAGCCAGGGACGGTCGGGCATGCTGGGAGCTAAATTTCGGGAGGGCATCAGCTTGAGGAAGGTTGCTCAGGAGCCAGGTCAGGTAGGTCTACCTGAGCCTGGAGCCCCTCCCGTTGGTTTGCACCTGGGCGAGTCCAGCCGGTGTGTCTCCGACCCTATTAAAAAACAGAGCGGACCCCACAAGTCCCAACCCTGCCCATGTCTGCTTCAAGGAAAAAACCCAGAGCTGAGGCCAGGAATTGGACTCCATCACCTGCCTTTCTGCTGGCTGCTTTTATCCGCTTGTTTGCAGGCAGGAGAGAGCAGCTCAGCTTCTTTGGCAGCCCAGCCGGAAGACGGATTAAGTTTATGCATGACAAGTGCTTCCTTTCTTGAAGAAGCTTCTTGAGGCTAGGAAGGGCAGGAAGGGAGAGAGCAATCATTCAGAAAACGTATCAGCGCAGAACAAAAGTCTGACAAACTAGGACCGGAGTGGGTGGGGGACTCATTACTTGGTGTCGGCGCATCGGGTTTATGGCTCCATGGGAGATGGAGAGCTTGATAAGGCATGAAAAGCAGGAGGGCCTGCACAGAAGCCCTGTGAGGAGGCGAGAGGCAGAGGTTTTCTGGATTCTCTCACTCCCCCCCTGCCGTGTGTGTGTGTGTGTGTGTGTGTGTGTGTGTGTGTGTGTGAGAGAGAGAGAGAGAGAGAGAGAGAGAGAGAGAGAGAGAGAGAGAGCGCGCGTGCGCGCGCACGCGCGAGAGCGCGAGAGCGCTTTTATAGCTCCTATATAGGCTGAAGTACCTGCCTCATCTTGGAAGCTAGGCAGGGCCAGGCCTGGTTGAACTCTGGATGGGAGACTTAACATGTTGTGTGGGCCACCCAGAAAGCGTCAGCTTGGGGCAGCATAGAATCGGGAATAACAATAGCTCGTTCACCTGAGATTGCGCAGCTGGCGCCTTCCTGCAGAGACGTCCATGTCTCGATCAAGCAAAGGTCACCCATGCATTTTAACCAACATGTTTATTGGAAAATGGCGGAGAGGTCTTGGTCAGGAACAGCTCAGCTCCCAGCTGCTGAGAAACACGGGCATTTAATCTGGGTTTTGAATGTGTGGCCTGGTTGCCCAGGGTGAGACAGCCATGGTTGATTAGCATGGTTGAGTCCAGACAACATGGTGACCCACGTTCCATCGGCAGCCCTGTGCCCATGACAACTCACACTCAGCCGCTGGCTGTGTTGTCTGCACCCAGCCATTATGTTGGCTCAAGGCATTACTTTGGACCGCAGGCTGAGCTTGGCCCCGGGCCACCCGGTCAGACTTCCACGCTGCGTGAGAGGTGCCGTGTTTCTGTTTAAACCATACTCATCATTTCTACATTTGCAACCATACATACAAACCAGCACATGCAAATTGATACCCTCGACTTAATTT